ATATTGGTGTGCTGCTCGGCATATTGCCAGATTCAAGTAAATTACCTCGGCAACAGGATTGTATTTATTCATGTATTTAAACACATAAAAATGTAAAGCCTCACTGATGGCCCTGGATGCTGCGATGTTCATCAGATCCCAAGATACAAGTGTTGGATGGCACATAGACATCTAACTGTATCTAATCTAACTATTCTTAGATGCTTAGAATCTGTGGATGAAAAACTGTAAAACATGTCCTGAGGGTGGCACTAGAGGGTTTATTTCCTTCCAAGCACGAATGTACTCTGCAAATTTTACAAAAGGCTGCCCATTAAATTAGCCCAACATATCTTGTGTTAGAAGTCTGCATTTTTGCCAAGGGTGCCACTAGAGAAAAAGCTGTGGTCAGTGTGATAAGTATACAGCATATCAATGCAATCTGCAAACCAGGTTTAGATATTGCATATGCACAGCACAAGTGTACGTATTGGGCTGATGATGGTGATCTATCCTTAGGAGTTTCATTTTGAAATACTTTAATCTGACACAGGTGTTGGACAGCCCATATTGCCAGCTTCACACCCTGCCAATATCATTAAAATAGTTTTGTGCAATCGGATAAAAACATAGAATCCATATATCTAAGTCCTTCTATTGTTGCTTTAATATGCCAACTTTCACACACTGACCACACAGTTGACTAACAAAAGAAGAACAACCTTGTGTATAGTTTTATATGGTCTGTACACTACCTTTGTTGCTACAGAAGCACCAACCACAAGGCCGGACGAATTCATGTGTGATCGACCACATAAAACCGTATTTAGAAATATACTGAGGCTATATTTGATTATGGGTTTGATGTATAACTACGTATGCACACCTACATGATGATGACTTAAAAAGAAGAAAGATGCACAGAGAAGAAGAATACAAACTGGCCAGATAAGACCGGTTGGTGATGTAATTTCTAAAAGGTCTTCTATAAAAGTTTTATAATAACAGCAGAGTTATAGCCCTTTCAAAACAACACAAGGACGCGGGATCAACTTGCATTTGGGGTCGATTTTAATGGGTTTCAATGCACGTTGTCTGACCCTGCTCATGGCCTGGGCACGTCTGATAGTGTTTTGGGTATAAGACGGAGAACAAATGAGTCTAAAATAGCACAAAAAAAAAACTATGTTACTTTAGAATTACATTAACAAGCTACTGTGCTCAATACATTTAACTGGAGCACACTGGGCCGTTCTACTAATTTAAATCTTAAAAAGAAATCAGAGAGACAACTACCTATAATAAAATGACTAAGAGTGTTTTGCTACTCATCCATAATATACACAGGTGCAAGCTGCACAAGGGAGGTAGTTTTCTTTCACTTTTGTTCATGCTGATATTGTCAACCGCGTTGATGATTCACAAGCAAAGCGACTGTGAAACCATTCACAAAAACAGTCGGTCTATGGGAACTGTTTGCAACTGAAATGTTGTGTGGTAGTAACTGCACGCAATTTTAAGAGGCATACTTTCTTTTCTCTAGGTGACATAAGTGCTGAAAGGGTTTTTCTCCTGCATGTTTAAATATGATAATTGCTGTTTATATATTTGCATGAACGGTTGTTTTACTCTATGATTAGAATACCTGTGGTGAAAACCAATGAAGGGCTTATTTGTGGTTCTGCTCTGTGAGAAATCAACAGGTGACCCTCTTGTAAAGCTAAACAAACAATGTTCTCTCATCACCTGCCCTCACACACATAAAAACACACACACACACACACCTGCCACAGCTGCAAGCCCTACTCTAAAAAAGAGCTTACTGTCATATGGTTCAGTCTTCCATTTCAAAGAAAAGATATCTCCCTTAAAGGAGATGAAGAAACTGCAGTCAGAATATAAATGGAATTGTTTGCACTCAGCAGTATGGCTGAGCCAGACTGAAAGTCACAAAACTGCCTGTATCTAAAAATGGACTGGGTATGCTGTGTGTAGTGTTACATGCAACAAAAAACTTAAAAAGGAACATGACAAACACACACGCACAAAAGCGTCGCTGCAAACACTTTGTCTAACCACCTGTGGCTGTTTGTGAGAAATGCGCACGAAATGGCGCCCACCACATTCAACTCCAACACTACTAATACCACACCTTGTCTCCACATGCCCAAGGAGGGCTGCCCTTATAATCCATGTTTATTCTATTGAATTACTTCTTATGGCAACATTCCTCCTAAATGACCTCACATCTAAGTAATCAAAGCCATGCTAGAAAAATATGTGAGATATGTTGAAAGGGAGTAGGAGTATAAGAGAGAACGAGAGAGAGAGGTCACATATGTGTTTTAGCTGTAAAGCCAGCTGAGGTCTACAAAAAATCCTCAACTAATCTGTCTGGACTTGATCAGTCAGGATGTTTTGCTCTCGTGCATGAATCTCCTGCCGCCGAGGGCCACTGCCGCACTAATATTAGCAAGCATGTGAGCAAGCAATACCATGCTTTTTCAGCCCAGCAATCAGATCCTACAACATCTCATCATTCCAGTAGCTTCTTTGGTTACGCCGTCTAGATCAAGTCGGTTTTTTGATATGCCATTATTACTGGGATAAAAACAAACCTACAGACACACACACACACACACCACCCCACATGCAGTCCTCACATGGCCAATGTGAGTCATGTTTTCCCTCACCTTCCTCCCTCACAGACGTCACATTAAACAACACTCACACAACTCTTGTCAGATGACTCAATGTTACGTCACTCCGATGCTATTTTAGCTTGAGTCAACTGCTTGGCATTAGGGTGGTCAGCAGCTCCCAGGAACCTGCCACTCTGCTAGCAACATCATCTTTTATCCTCCGACTCCCAGATATCCCTGCTTCAGCACAGTAGTCCTGTTTTTTGTCTGCTCAGCACCCTCAAGAAGATTAGCAAATTACTGAAATGCGTGAACAGATTTGAGTCAATTGGCATCAAATGAATCATATTCTTATTCACTTATTTCATGAGGGGGGCAAATCTTTTGTACAGCTGTCTGTGTTAAGACAACTTTAAACGCTAAAACATTGAAGAGTTTATTTTTATAAATCTAAAAAGGGGTTTTGTGGAGAACATGTTTATATTCGAGTAAGGTGTCGTATTGGCTCCAGTATTGACATTTTACAAATGACACAAGATTAAAACATGCTTTTTAGAAACGTGATGCCACACACACAAGACCCCACTGGATATTCAAGCTGTGGCAGCACCTCTGTTCTATTAAAATTATACTTGAACAGCAGACGTAGGTTGTGACCTACAAACCTACCTACAATAGTAAACACTTTCCTACTTGATGACGGGCTATCAAATGACCAGATATTGTCTCACCAGTAGCCTAGCACACAACGTTAAATCATTTTTCTAGTTCTGAAGTTGATGGAGACCGTTTCCATAAGAAATGGAAGAAAATACTGTTGGTGGAAGAGGTTTTGCAGGGGCGTCAGCAGCCGTTACTAACCAGCAAGCCAACTAAGAGTTTCAAAGAAAGGTTTTTGGGTTAGGAAGAGACTTTTGTAACTTTCAGTAGCACTCCTTTGTTTTTCAAGTGTGTTACATTTTATAAGTTGTGTAATAAAAGCAATAATGCAATAATTCTTGGTGAAAATGACAAAAAAACTACTTAATATTTTTAGTAAAAGACATAACACTGAATCTAATACTCAAGTCAAGATTTCCACTAACACACACACACGTTTCTCCAGTGATTCAGGAAGCAGGTCATGTTTTTCCATACAAAACTAGAAGGCCCTGAGAGCACCAGTGGAGGGACTTCCTCTGCTGAAGGGCCAAATTCCACATGGTCCATGACCATTAACCCACCCAGGCTGACTCAGACCCCCCACCCCACCAACTTCACAACCTCCCAACTCTCAACATAGTTCTGGGGAAAGCCTCGACTTCACAACCAGCTGTTAGGTCTTTTCCCTTGGCAAGCGACTTCTAGAAACTTCTGAAGAGGGTGTAGGTCCTCCTCCTGCTGTCAACATCTCAATCTCTCACTTTCACCCCAACAGATATGCCAGCAGGCAGCCAGGAAATTAACTGTGGGTTACGCTGAATACAAAATACACACAAATGTTCAAACAAAAAACCCAGATCAATGCTTTAAAAACTGGTATGCACTGATAACTCTTTAATGTTTACAGGATGCAGACAGCTCGATAATATCTTCTAAGACACTGTAACAGGTAGCGTTGAACTGACTCACCCGGGAGAAATAATATGCTTTAGGTAATTCAAGAATGGGCTTTTGGATGAGTCGATCACTGGCATGGCTGTCCATTATTCTGGCAGGAGACTTCCAGAGACTCCTGCAGCTTTACTGCTAGATCTCTGTTAGCATGCAAATCCACCTCAATGCAACGATAAAACAGGTTTTGCAGAATCTAAAGAGTTCCTTTAACAGAAGATATCAGTCATGGTCTTTTTATCTACAAACACTGACATTTTTGAGATAATTCTGATAACAATCAGCCACAGCATGTGGTGATTTTACACTTCCAAATTAGAAACACATACGACTACAATGTACATTGTGTCGTTATCACAAGCACATTAAATCAAGTGAAATGTCCACTGTGTTTCATATTCAGCTTTAAACTGCTCCCCTGCTTCAGGTCAGTAGGTTATGGCAAAAATCTGTGCCACGCTATCTGATCCCTTTTTACTTGGTATGCAGTTAATGAGCTTTTTGAACCCTCATTAGACACAACTGCCCCCCACCCCTACACACACACACACACACAAGCGTTTAACCCCCACTCTGAAACGTGTGCCAGCCCACTATT